GAAATTGTTTTACGTCAAACCGCTGACAGAAGACTTGGACTCGTTTAAAAAAGTTTTTATTTTTATCGGCGAACGTTGGTGGAAGTTAGATTGGAAGAATGTTCTAATTTTCGAGCAACAGATCGAATCGAAATCGTCGCCAAGTCGGATCGACGGAGTCAATAACACTGTAAAATCAGAAGTGTCTCGAAGTGGTTGGTTAATTAGGGATCGTCTAATAATAAATGGGCGACCATTCAGCATCGAGACAACGATATATTTTTGCTTGGTGCTTGGAACCGACGCAAAACAAGCTGACAACTCTTTCGAATGCGTCATCGGGTGGTCTCCCAGCCGGCCAGAGATTGAAACGCGACTGTGTTCTTTGTGAATCAATTGCGATCGACGCGGCGATTATAACAGTAAAACGATGAATTGCGGGGCTGGCTGGTTCAACCATCGCGAAATGAGGATGTATCGCGCGTACAAATCAAAATCGTTTGAAACGCGGCAGACGCAGTTTACGATCTACGCTCCAATTAAACGAGCTTTCCTCGCTTCTCATTTTTTGTTTGCCGAGCGATCGTTTAGCAGCTTCGTTTTGTTCTTCTTCCAAAGAATAATTTACGCTCTCGTGTGAGTTAAAAAAATAAAGAAATTAACGAGAGTGCCGTTTACTTAACAGTACGAAATTAAAATAATGGAAATAGTTTGCAATCGTGAACCACGTAACTTGAAATATTTCCTCTAATTCTTGTCACTCGTGTATGTATGACGTGGCAATAAAAGTGCTGAAACTGTATTAATATTTAATGGACGAAGCAAGAATCCAATTATAAAACCATAAGAAGCATCGTATCTTCGTTATTTTCCCACTTAGTCTCGATTGTTTCGCGCGGAGTACCGTTTACGATTATTCGAACGATACCGTTTTAATTTCGCGAAACGGTAATTAACGGGGACAAATTCGTTGCTTTTAATGGCGTTCGAAAATTCCGAAACGTAATACGCGAGAGCAGAGAACCCGGGGGAAAACGAGTTCTCAGCTGATGCGGGACGCGAGATCGAAAGCGATACGCGCGCAAAAAAGGCTCGGGCTCGCCAGTGTTTCGCCGCGGCGCGAAACAAAAGGGAATTTTAATCGATTTTCTCGGGTCCGTTCGATCAGAATTTCACGATTGTTGCGCGCCGGGGAGTTTGGCGAAACAGGGGATATAGCGAGATCCTCGCTCGGTCGCGAATTATCGCCGCTTGGGTCACTGCGCGCATTGTCGTCGGCGAACGATAACCTCTTGAACGGAATGAACGTCATCCGCCCGGCAGTTTTCACTTCCTGCAGAGGAGATTCTCTCTATAAACGCGGCAACCACGTGCCCGTAAACGCATGCACGCGTGTTCAAATCACCGAGTCGGCGATTTTTATTATCTTTGTTCCCGATACCTCATCGTCCATGCCAAACATTCGTCGACTCTTATCTTTGTTAATCGTCCGCGCCAATGTCGTCGACGCAAAGAAAATTTCTGCCGGAGAATCGACCCAAATAAATAATCTCTGTCAATTCGAACTACATACGTATTACTCGAATGTTCGATAACGCGAGCCTTTGTTCGGACTCCGGATTCGTTTGTACAGTGATTGTTCGTAAAATGAACATTGTATCTTCATTGGAGGCAGTGAAGACATTTAAAAAGGCGACTCTGGAATACAATCTTCTGTGTTAACGTTCATTTTACGAATCATTATCGGCTCCCATTTTCGCGAAACCTCGATCGCGCCAGAACGTCGAGAAGAACAAAGTCTGTGGGTCCCTGTGCAAACCGACGGAAGTTGGTTGTTTGACTTGGAGCTCGGCGTTTTCGCGTCGAAACAGCGAGCTGGGCGTGTCTTTGCCGTTCGAACACGCTCGTAAATGCATCGTCCAAGCTTCGAGTCGTCGGCGAGCGCGGTGAAACAAACGACGCGACGCCCAGGTAGCTAGATGGTTCCCACGAGCGAATACAAACACCGTCGAACCGATTAATCCGCGACGGCGAAGTTTCGAACGGAAAATGTTTTTAAAATCAAAGCGTAAGTTTGTTGCGCGGTTCGGTTTGTTCGCTTCTCGAGCGGCTCGAGGATTTTTCCGCGGTCTCGTAATCGTTGGATGGAGCACGCGTGCATACGTATGCGCGGTGGGATTCTTCGGCAGCCACGTACTCGGTCCGTCGAACGAGCCCGAGGAATCGAGGGGCCGTGAACGAGGCAACGATCTCGGGAGCTGGTGAATCGAACCGAGGAATGCGAGCTCCTCGATTCAAGAGTGTCGATCGACAAAAATTCTCTTGCCCTCTCTCAATTGGGAAGCTCAAAAGCGTCTTTGTCATCGATCTCTCGACTCGAATCGCTTCAGATCCAAAGAAAAACACTCCTCTTTTCTCAATTTCTTTCTTCATTTATTTATGGGCAAAATCCTCGTTTCAAACTTTCAAAAGATACGCTAAAAAATTCCACGGACACGAAGGATCTCAAATGATAGAAATTTACGCTCCGACCGATGCGTCCATTAAAAATTCTGAGCAAGAAATTTGAGGACATCGATATTCCAATTACTGGAGGTCGTGTCTGTCATTGAGAGAAGGGATAAACGTTCTACGAAGACAGATTCGGACGTTCGACTAATTACCTAATCCGCGCGTCTCCGGGTGTCCCGCGCGCAGGTGTTTTCAGGGAAATTTTAACGAACGCGATGCACTTTCTAAACGTTGTAAATCGACGCGAACATTTTCTCCGGAGCGTGTATATATCTTCGAAAGGACGTGCAATTGGAACATGGTCGGTGAGACGATTAACAGTCGACCGGGGCCGAGAAGTCCCGGGTCTAAGCGGTTAATGGGTTTTAAAGCGTGACGGGGCAGGCATCGCGATTCCGTGCCTAAATTTACGCACGGCAGATGTAATAAAGCGTGTGCTCGCCGTTTTACGGTATCCTCTATCCGGGATTCCGAATAAGCAGCGACGCAACCGGCCGCCGTGTCGCTTTGAACCGATGCCAGCCACCTTTCCGTGATTCTTCGAAGGCGCCAAGGTGCGACCGGCGTCGTCGTGGAGGAACGTTCCCGCGGAAGGCGAGGCGAAAATTTCTTCGACGAGTTCGAGTCCGCTCGGAATTCTCCGCATTTTTTTCCCCGATCGACAGAAACGTCCAACAGGAATCCAAACCCTTTGGGTCAACGCACACTCGTACAGTCAGCCATTTTGTTCGCTGGATAGTTTCTCGAATATTTATAATTATTCTTGAGATTATGGATCGAATAACTTCCACATATTTCTCCGTTCGGTCCTTTTAAATTGAACATTTCTAACCACGATCACTTAGCTGGAGATTGATTTTTTTTTTTAAACTACGCTTACTTTTCAGCCATTATAATTTATATTCTTCTATTCCTCGCAAGAAAAACACACGTCCTTTCCCATCCGGCTCTCACCGTGCATCATCTTTTCGACCGTCCAAGATTATATCCTGGGCAAATTGCTCGCAAGTCGAATGGAAATTGAAACGACATTCTAAGCGTCCCCGATTCCGGGACAGCAGATCGTAACTCGGTTGCGATAGGATTCGCGCGTTCTACGCCACGCAACATCGGAGTCGCGAATTCGAGCTGGAACTCTCTTCTTCGCGAAACGAGCTTCTCGAGATCGCGAAGAAAATTCCGTATTTCCATTTCGATTCACTACGGGATGTGTTTTCTCGGTGAATGCAATTTGCTGAGAAAGTATCTAATCGCGACGATCGAAGACCCCGGCGTATCGTTCCCAGGACGAACGCGTCGCTTTCGCGTTTGATCGAACCTCGTTCGAGGCTAGCAGCCTCGAAGTTCGCGTGTTTACCAACGTCAGGACGAACCGTCCTCGCAAGTAGGTTGCGTATCGTTCGGTGAAATTCTAGAGGAGATCTCGAACGGACGGTTATTCCCGATGAGTGATTGCGCACCTGTGTGACTTATAGCCGGCTGACTCTACGATTTGTATATTATCCACGATCGTTAGCGATTTTAAATCGGCACGGTAATCGGTGAAAATCCTCCTCCGACTCTTCCCAACACTCCGAAGAGTACTCTTTCATTAAAACTTGATCGTTTCTTTTACGCTACAATTATCAACAATTACGGAGTATTTATTTGTATCACGATGGACTCAAAAATAATATAGGGGTTGCGTAGTTACGAGAAAATTACTGTTATTTAATTTGTTCGATTTCTGAGCTCGAGGAAGAAATATACGACGAAAAATAAGTAACGTTATCAACGAAATAAATTACTATTTTGTCCGAAAGAGAGGAGTAATGGTGTGAATCCGGCCACAACGTGGCCCTCGAAGATACGTGACGAGATTCAGACGCGGGTGTCGCGAGCACGCTTCGGAATACCAGATTTCCATAATAAACGTCAGCTCGAACAAATTTTTCGTGACTCGTGGACGCTTCGCGTCACGTTTCCAGCCGGTCGGTTCGAGGGATTCTGCGGAATGCTCGCGTGACTCACGACGAATAACTAAATACATAGTCAGAGGCCCCTGATAGTCCGATTCAGGGCTCGGCTTCTACACGGTGTCCCGAAACATCTGTCGATCTCCCGCGCTCAACGTTTTCGACAAACGAGATTCGACGTTCCGTACGACTAGACAATGGATAATGATCTCAATAATATCTATAATTCATCAGCTATCTCTGTGTAACTCGAGCAATGATCATAGATCACCAGAACCGAGGATAGAAATATTTACAAAATGTGTACCATTTGAGAATCATCGAATAATACTTTTTTAGACTTTGTAGAGGATGGTTCGAGCATTCGAAATTAGGACGGATCTCAGGAAACTCGCACAAATTACCCCGACGTCTTCCAGGTACCGAATTAGCGAATTCTGGCTTTGCATAGGAAAAAAATCGACAGCCTAGTGTCTTCCCTTATGAATAATGCATCATCCATGAATCTCCGCGCGGCTAATAGGTGATCCTCGCAACAGCCGCCTTTCTACTCACCGGGGCTCAGGTAGCGTCGTGACGAGAAACTGTATCTTCCTACGATTTTATCGGGACGCTGAATCTTTCCGCGCGAACAGTCGCTTTCGATCTATGCGGGCATGCAAAACGGACCCCGGCTCTTAGCGGTGACTACGAATCCGCGGCGCGATCGCTCGTGGCTAACAAATGTTTAAAATAACCCTGGCCGAGAGAAGCGCTATGCCGCCTGCAGCTCTTAAATCGTTTCCTCGCGTGAAAAACAGAAAAGAAAATACCGAGCGTGTGTGTACATAAGCGTATTTTTAACTTCTGTTAGGCGTTTCTCCGAGCGATATCCCCGACGACTGGAACGCCGATAGGCTCATACATTTTTCTACTATTAACGCCTCTGTGTGTTCCAATCAAACGCGGTGAAAATATCAATCCAGGCGCGAACGACCAATGTTATCCATATATCGAGTCGTCCCACAACAATCAGACGTAAAAAACTAATTTAAACGCGATCTTATGGGAAAACCTGTTAAAACCTTTTAATCGCCGAACCTCGCCTCGATAGGTACACTCCGTTCGCGTACGTTTATCCGGTAAACGAAGTCGTTGAACGACTAAAAGGTAAAAAAGTCCTGATTACTATGCCTCCAGCGCGACTTCGCAGCACGAGCCGCTCGCGATGTAAATTTCCAAGTCGAGAATGTTCGTAGGAACGTGTGCAAGGGGTCCTAGAGCTTTACGAGCGATCTATAAAGTAGTTTCAGACGGTGCGGCGTCGATGGATAACGGAGGAGCGTGTCCGGGGGGGGGAGTGGAACCACGAAATAAAAATTCTACGATGAAAATGTTGACTCCGAATTCGCCGCAGGAACGCTAGCAATGCTTCTCCAAGTTTTACGACCGGTCTATAAAGTGGCTTGAGGTACAGTAGTGTCGTCGAGTGATGACAGAAATCGGTCCTGTCCCTGTTTTGGTACACTCCTCGCTATGAATAGATCGTCCCGGAGCGAGCTTTTGGCGTCCGGCTCTACCGGTAGTACACCGAACGTTATGCTCTATATTTTCCCTATTATCTACCAAAACTCGTTAATCCTCCCGACAGACGACGCGGGGATCATCGGTTAACTCTTTATCGTTATCGCGACGTGATCGCGTTCGAAATACATACGGGGACGCCGCAGACGAAACACGGAGTCCTAAAAGGTTCACGGTGAGTTTAACGCCCGGGTCACAACTTTCGCGCGCCTCCATTTTTCACGATCGACCGGAATTACGATACCCTTTTTTTCAATTCAAAGTCGATAAGCAATTCTTTATATCAAAATGAAAATGAAATGAAGACTTTATTGCATTCTTTAACTAGTATCAGCGGCCATTTATTTCTTTGTTTACGGAAGTGAATTTATTTAATCTAACCAAGAAAATTTGGGAAGATTTGCAAATATTTATCCGATCAGTCTAAGAATAATATTGTGGTATTTCATTGGCGCTATTTTCGTGCCTTTTTTTTTAAAGTAAAGACACTTTATTACACTCTTTGACCACTATCAGAGGCTATTTAATCTAACCAGGAAAGTGGTATACACCGATATCGACGAAACTCTGTGCAAATATTTATCGGATCGTCATAAAAATATTGCTATATTTGGTGCTATTTCGAGAGAGAAACCACCCTTTTTGTCCGAGAAGTACCTCTTATTTATGTGTTTGCAAGCCAGATAAGATGTTTAAACGTTGTAAAGTGAAACAGAATTTTCGTGTCGAATAAAAACGAATGATATCTTTAAACGGATCAGGAGGGAGGGGCCACGGTTGCGAAAGACACCCGGTGCATGCAGTTTCGGGATTTCGTAGTTGACTCAGCGGGAAACACTTCCTTTTGACGAGAACCACTCGACCCGCCGAAATATATACGGGCTGACTCACCCCGTGAGCGTACAGGTACCCTCTCCTTTGCTCTACGAATAAATATATCGAGTGCACGGTTGCTGCACCTTGATGTAACCGGGGAAAATAGAGCAACCGTCAGCCCGGAGAATATTGGACCGCGCGGGACGATATTATTTCCGCTTTTAAAATAAAAGGTGACAGCCTCCGTGAATCGCTTTCGAGCTAATTTTTAAAAACGAATCGCGAATAGTTTTTCTTTCTCGCGTTTGACCTGGTTGAGACTTCGTCGTGAAACGGAGAACCAGTTCAGCAGTTTCAGGGTGTTTAGGGTATCCAGGTGGTATTTGGGCGGCTCAGAAGCCGTACGAGTGTTCTAATGACATTAGAACTCATCGATATCCCCCTGGTTTCACCACCTACCGATGTTGGACTGGCTCGACCCTTCCGCGGAATATACGTATCACGAATCCGTACAAGCTCTTCAGATTTCTATTCGAATCAGAATTTTAAAGCGAATTATCTATCCCGTGTACGTACGCGTCGACGGAGACGAACGTGCTCCGAGTAATTCTCGAAACGCGATGTAAACTTTCCAAGCGGTTCGATTAAAAATCTCGCGTGTTGCTCTATATCGCGCGCAGGATAAGATAAACAACATCATCGTTTAAATTCGTCGTCGAACGATCTCGAAACGAAATTCGTACGCCGCGAAAGCGGTTGAATCATAATACGGTTAATCTTGAGGCAAATTCATAGTAGGTTAGATTAAAATCTGGCAGCAGTAGTTTCTATAACATCTGAATTTCAAAATCTGACGTCGTCGTAATTTATATAAGACAGCTAACAACGGATCTTAGCGTTTTGCGTGCTGGACCGAGACGCGAATTAAACGAACGTTCTCCGTTGAAAATCGAAACGAACACGAGAGCTCTCGAGTGTTTGTTCGTTATTTGCAACGGGGATTCGCGTGTACGAAGAACAAGTTGACGTTCTGTCGATTGTGCTGTTCGTACAATCGACACACGCTGTAAAACTTGTCGCGTCTATCTTATCGACTCCGAGGTTCGTCGATCACCTTCGTTCGGTTTTATCAAGTTTTATCGGAACATTTTTTCTTTCTTTCGGATACGTCAGATTCGAGATTTTGAAAGAGGATTCTGAGCTGCCAGAGATCGGATCGCGGTTTGGAAGGATGGACGACGGGCGACGCGGTTCGGACAGCAGCATATGCTTCGATAAGCTTTCGAAAAAGGATCACGCCGCTCGACCAGCTGCGTGAGTAATCTCGGTGCTATTTCAGCGAGAGTATTTCACGTAATACGCGTGCAGGCAACGGCGCAAGAGGCCTGACGTCAAACAACCTTATAGATTTACGGCGCGACGGTTTCCAACTTGGCGAAAAGTCAAACGCCCCCCGACGCCCGTCGACGTTTTTGGTAATCCGACGGCGAAAAAGGTCGAATAAAAAATAACACCACGCGTCATATTCGCTTTTAAACAATGGAACCTGTCGCGAATACTCCATCGAACGCGAGCGAAGCTCCGACGACTTCGCGAAGAGACGGAGGAACAAAACATTTACTTCGTCTTACGGACGAAAACACACTTTATCTTGGAGCTATCGCGCTCGGATAACCTAAGTAAGTTAAAGCGTATTAATAGCGATTTTGAATAGGAATTCATGCGTATTTTTGGACCCTTTCTTCGCCCATAGTCGTTTCAAATAAGCAGTTTCTTAACCTTGTTCACTGGAGATATAATTCAAAAAGATTGTGACTCAGAAAAGATAAATAATTTGATTATTTTCGCTTCTAATTTGTTTAAAAGCTACCACGAAGAGTCGTCTTGCGAGACCACCCAAAGGGTGGAAGAGCGATCGGTCAGATTTTACAATGTTTTCCGAGGAGCCCCGAGGGGCATAATAATCCGCGAACGCGTACGCTCGCGATGTTCTCAGATAAGCTATCACTTTAATGGATAATTTGATCCGATATAGAAACCGGAAGATATTACTCAAGGGTTTCGCGCGAGCACGCATTCCGCCGTGCGATAGAGGCGAGCACCGAGAGTTCATCGATGCCGATCCGTTCGTTATTGTTGCGCGCAATCTGGTCGCGATCCGTACAAAGCGGGTAACTTTGTCGAGGAAGGAGCGCAGCTGCGCGAGAGGCCGTCCTCGTTGATGGTCCCGCGAGTATTTTTGCCGGTTCCACGACGGGGAACGGTCGATCTAACGACGGACAGAGATAAGTGAACGCCAGCCACTTGGCCGCGTCGCTGACGTTAACCAAACCACAAATTCCTGTTAACGTTCGTTTTCGTCGACCGCGACACGGAACGACCGCGTATTTTCTGCCACGAGCAGAGAGAACCAAGCATCGCGCGCTGCCCAGGGGGAAAAGAGACTTTTATAAATCATTCCCGTTTCCTGAATTCCGGCGACGCGCTGATTAATCCGGTTGTGCTCTAACACACCGTCGTTAGAATTTCTTCGTACGTTCGTTCTGGGACTTTGCGCTTTCGTGGATTTCTGAGTTACGGTCTCGAAACGAACTCTGGTGTTTCCACGAATTCGATTCGATAACCGAGCGAACGGCTGCGCTAGAAAACTCGCGACCAATCCGGGGGGACTCCTTTTCCATCGACCGGTAGGAACTGCTGGCAGTGAAAATGAGAAGACGTCGATGTAGGTTAGGCAGAACGAACGCGAAAACTAGAATGTTAATTCAGGTTTACCCGAATTTTTTGCCGGGTCGTAAAGATCCCCGGTTATCCGGTTTTTTGCGTTTGCCGATCGGACGTACCGTGGCTGCAGCTACAATGACCATAAATCTTCGACGAGGTAATTTGCATAAATCTTTGATATCGAGGCCACGGATCACTGGCCGTGCTAGAGAAGCTGCGGAAGAATACCGTGTCACCCAGTTACTTTCTCCGCTCGGAGCATCTATTTCTGCGTAAGGATCTCTTTTTCGCGTTGCCCCTGTATATGTATATACGTGCACGTATATCGACGATTACAATGGCAAACAATCGTGAACGATTAAAAAGATAACAACGGACGTGTTCCGAGGTACGAGCGTTCGTGTCGATGCATCGATAGGTGGGTCTAGATTTATCTTGTTCCTCGAACCGACGATTATTTAAGAAACCGCAGTACGTACACCGGTTTCACCGCGGAACAATGCCGACCGGTGGACCGCTACGATTATACGCGACATTTCGTTGTTCCCATTATCGTTCGAAAAGCTGGACAAGCGTCTTACGGAATTACAATATCATTCCACGCTTATTATACAAGACGAAATAGAAAGAAGACTCATCGAACGCCAGAACTGCGTCGATCGTTTAATTACTAGCGTAAACAAATACTCTGAAACGATGTTTTTAGATCTTTATCGGCCCTTGGAAGTAATCTAAATATTCGTACTAATTTCTAATTAATAAATAATTTTAAACACGATCGTGTATTCCCTTGAATATATATTTGAAAATGTGAGATACGATAATGCGTCCGTAATTCGCAGAGATAGGGAAAAAGCAGCTAAAGCATACTTGGATCGTCGCGTTTCAAGAGTCAACATGCTTGAAAAATAATAACGTGGCAGACTGCGAGCCATTTTGTCAGTCATAATTTAAACGGTCTCGCGCGCTCGCGTGGGTGGTGCATTAGCGCTTCCGTGGCAAATTGCACGAAAGGAAAGAAAAAAAAGGTACGCGCGAGAGGAAACAACGGACGAGCCTAATTTATCGAGCATCGACGCACCCAGGTTTCCACCATCGCGGAACGTCGCGGATACGTTCGTCGAATATCTCGAGCCTCGATTGTTCGTGCTGTCGATTCTTGTAAAAACCTCTGGCCGAGTAATTGGATACACGGATTGCAGATTCAGAATAAACCACCGATCTTATCTCTCTGTGTCGTTGCTCCACCTTCTCAGTTATACCGCCGCGATACGTAGCGATCGATATACGTGTCTGACCTTTTAGGAAATTTATTATTTAAATCAGACCTCAGACCTGGGATCAAGAAATTTCGATAGTTTTCAACGATTCTTGAAACGAACGCGTATAAATATGTGATGTCGAATAAGAATCTTCGCTGTACCCACAAAATTTGTTTCGCCAAGCTTGTCCATGAAGCATCGACGATCAGAGCGATGCAGAATGTACCATCGAAACGCAATTACGCCGCCATCGGTGTACGTGTTTTTGGTGCTTGTTCGTCGCGGGCGATTTGGCTCCAAATTTTCCCTAAACGAACCGTTATCGATCGTTGGAATTGCCCGGTCCACGTACCCCGTTGTCGTTGACATAACGCGGACGCCCACGCGACAGATGGTCGTTTTTTTCCTCGCAAGCTCCAGCGCGTTTCCGTTCACGGTTCTCGAGATCTAGCGCGGATGTGACGATACCGCGATACCGTCCGATATATTTCGCCGATTCTCGGCGGAAATTTCGTAATTTCCGCGAGTAACTTCTCCCCGTGAAATCCCACCCCGGTCGCGGAGACTTTGCTCGTCCGGGATTTATTCGTTTCGCGACGTACTTTGGCTCCGGCCGGGATAACGCGTCGATAAGCTCCGAACAGAGATTTAACCGTGGTAGCCTTTTACTGTTACCTCGACGATCCTTTCCCGCTCTCGGGTACTCTCTCGCCATCGACGCGGACTTTCACGGACGTAAGCCACTGGCTCGTCGATACCCATAGTTGCCTAACCTTTTTATCACCCGCGCTCGCGCGGGTTTCTCGAGGCTCTATTTTCGAGCGGATGATTCACCGCGAGCGCGTTCGTCACGCACGATACGTTGCGTTTTTATTTTTGCACCGCGCGACGCGGAGCTGCCCCAGTTTACTCGCGCATCCGCGTAATCGTAATCGTAATCGTAGATTCGTTATTCGCTATGTAATGACAATGATTCTTAAAATGAACGTCGCAAGGATCCCCCAGTTGGAACAGGAACGTTCAACTTACGATTCATCGCTGTCACGTTGGTCATTTCGAAGGAAAATTCTCCGGGGCTATGGCCCTGGGAAAGATCGACGCGATTATTCGACTCGTTTTCTCGCGATCTCTCTACCGGGTGTCCCATTCGCATCCACTCACGGGGCCTGTCCGTTTACAATTAACATCGAACGACTAATCCAAGATAATGGGCCGATCGGATGAAAGTCTCGTTCGCTGAGACCGAGGCGCATTATACTTTCATGATCCTGGTGGGAACCGCGGTCGAGGTGCACGCTCGTCGCGGATGGTTTGCTTCCATCGCAATATCCATAAGCGCAGCCACCTATAATTGCCCTGCCCGGTCGTAAATTAACGGTGTTTGGTCGCGAGGATTCGAAAACGCGACAAGTCGAACCCGGGAACCCCTTTTCTCGTCGTCCGGAGACAAAAGACCCGCTGTCTCCGGCCCTTTTTTCCTCGACCCCTGCCACTTTGACATTTCGCGCGCAACGTCCTGGAAAACGAAAGTCGAAAATGCTCGTAGGACCCTCTCCTCGCTTCCGCGGTAATCACCCACGCGTTTCCCCTCTTTCCTCGTCGAGTCGTGAAAATTCTTTTGGAGAACG